TTTCCCAGACGAAAGATTGCCATCGTGAAGCAATCGTGGCGATTTCTGTGATCGTGGCTCTTAATCAGTGGTCCTATGTCGTACAGTGAGAGAGGTTCAAAGACGGGCGTTTTCCGGTCTTGCGACCAAAGATAGCCTACAATAGTTTTCTCACCGTGTCAGAAATTCAGCATGATCAACGCACAGTGTGTTTGCTGCAACGACCTGCGTCTACTCAGCAGCCAATGAAATTGCAACATGAAATGACGTATTGATCCACGCGACCAGCAGCGCTACACTTTCAATGCCATGGAGGCAAAAAAAGTAGAAGGTATACTGGTATGTGGGATACCCATAAAGTACAAATTCTGGTCCTCTTTTACCGAGCCATGAGCAGGTCCATATTGCCCTCTTCCGCTGGCGCCTCTTCTTTGTTTCAGCACACATGAAAAGCACAACTGCCAAAGCCCGATCCATATTGATGTACCGGTATTTGTTTACCACTAGTGCATGCTGATGAGGTTGCGCTAATGCCGAGTTCACACTGCACGATTTCCAAACTCGTCGGATCGCCGTTGTTTTCACACTGCGTGACTATCTGGGGTAGCATTCAGTTGCTGCTGTGTTCACATTGCACGATGAATCGGCGACAGGGGGTTTCACACTGCATGACTTCACAATAGGAAGAATCGCCGACAGCTCTGTCTGGTCCGCAAACTACGTTTCACAACAAAACACACACGAGAAGTGATAAGGAAATAACGCGAGCATGCCAAATATTTTGCGGGCAACAGCGATTCCCTCAGATCGCGTATTTGATCATTCACACTGCGTGATTGTCACTCGCGTGAACGAGCACCGATTTGCCTCCGATTTCGGGCATTTGTCGGCGATTTCGCAAAACCTGTCAGCGAGTGAAAAATCGTGCAGTGTGAACTCGGCATTACGTGTGTCGCAGCCTACGATTCAATAGGTGTCATCATCGTACAGTCTACATGCTTGTCGTACCCAAGTTTAAACGATCCATGTCACACAGTGATAAAATAATGATCTTATAGGATTGCTAAAATCGTGCAGTGTATCCCGGGCTTAAGACACAAGCATTGACACAAGACTGTCAGTACTGTATAAGAGAGAACACTGGGGTTGATTGCAGCTTTTCAGATCCATTGAGATACTTCAGTTAAACCACCACTAAACAGCCCAGCACCTCTGCCTTCTGCCGCATACAGGGTTCCTAACAAGAAAAAAACAAAAACTTTACTCTATTGTACTGTTGGTACATTAAGCTGAATTCAAGGCATTCTGTTCTAGGCATTATGAAACAGCTTGGTGTAAAAATACACTACCAGACAAAAGTTTAGATATTTGACTTGCATGAGTTTTATGTGTATATACAGTATACACAGAGTTCTGGGTAGATTTGTTATAAACTGCAATAGTCTGACTGATTGCAAATTACATAATGAAAACACTTAGTAATTACAGATTAATTCTGACCTAACTCATTTAACACCTTGATTTGAATAAGATAATCTTGTACCATTTTGATGTTAAAAAAAGAAAATATATTCCATTCTTTATCAACAACATTAAGTGCATTATTAAACATTATATTATGCCAAGGTTCGCCAAACTGGGGTTCTTCAAGTACCTGCAGAGGGTTTGCAAGTTGATGAAAAGTTAATCATTCATAAAAATGTAAAATAAAATAAAAACAAATTAAAATAAAACACTAAAAATATGTTTACCTGCAGGTCATGTGACCATTAAACAACATCGGAGAACTGTGAATATGCAAATGTTTTGTTTAACTTATTGTCTTAATTATTACCTTAAAAGTAAATATTACATCAATGGCATTCCATGCAAACATAAATATACATCAATTTGTGCATTTTAATGTGTTTGAAAGGGAAAAGCCTTCCAAAGACACCGTAATAGATGGTTAAATGACTCACTGAATGATAATTCAAATGTGTTTGTCAGGAGTTGAGGAGGAATTCAATGTTGAGAAAACACTCCTTAAAAGCAGGCCCAGACTGGCCATCGGGAGCACCGGGAGAATTCCCGGTGACCTGGCGGCTGATTTGGCCCGCTGCCCTGTTTTTTTATTTTACCCTTTAAGTACTTTATAAGTAATTCAGTTGTAGTATAGCTGAAGTACACAGGTTTAATGTCTCACTCACCTCCAGTAGCCAGTAAATCATCAACGATCAGGACCTTCTGTCCTGCAGAAACAGCGTCTTCCTGCATCTCCGCCTCGGCCTGAAACGATACTGCTGAATTACATAATGAACAGAGGCTTGCATTATAACTGCACATAGACTAGAATGTGATACTGGATAATTTATAAACCGGAGTTACCTTTGCATACTCAAGACTATAAGCTACTGATAACGTGGGACCAGGGAGATCGGTGATCTCTTTGAGATTATATATATAATGCACAGTCACATGCAAGTTTTAAAAATATTTTATTGACCCTTAAGAAAAAAATTCAAGTAAGAGTTGACACTGATTTGAATGCATCGTACAAGTAAAAAAATAAAATAAAATAAACAGTATAAATGATTGTTAGACAAAACTAGCTAACATCAGTATATTTATTGACAGTGTGCTTTGGTAATTGTACAGTAAGTGAGGTCCAGTGAGTACCAGGCAGCTGTCAGAATATGTTTTTATGATCAATTATATTCTTAAATGACAGTGCATATGTTCTGCTCTGCTGCCTTTTGGTACATTTTGCTATTTTTTCCCCCAACAAATTAATAGACAAATATTCTAAAATGAGAACTACACTAAATCACTGCTTTTTAAAATCTAAATCTGATTTTGTACATTACATTAAACACACCAAATGCTGAGAGTCATGCAGAAAATACAAATATCATTTTAAAAATCCTTAAAAATAAATCTGATTTTGAGAGACGTCTTTATCAAAGTTCTTATGGATAACTAAATTAATGTGGCCAGTCACATTTCCATGGATTTGACTCTGGGGGTTTAAGACATTTGCCCAACTGCTCACAGCCAGGAGGACTCCAGTTCTGAGTAGGAAGAGAAACACATGAATATAAAGGAAGTTCTAGGTTCAGACAATGCCTCTATTGACAGTGTCATGAAATTTACAATAGCTTTTTACCATACATGAACACTGGAGGGCGCTGTTGCCCCACTAGCTGTTAAAAGATGCTTATTGTCTATTGTGAAACTAAACCATCTTCCAGAGCAATAATGGCACAAAGTAAAGTGCCATTTTTGCAGTGACATAAAAATCTACAAAGGCTGCTAATGACCAAAAAACGAAGTAAATAAAATACTTAAAGAAAAAAATGTTAGCTAATAATAATAATTTTCAAATATGTTTTTGTATACTGATTTATAAAACATTAAAAAAATAAAATGTTTCAATTAATCATTTAAAACTAAAAGTGATGAAAACAACTGTAAAGCTGTGCAAAAATAATTTGTTGTATGTGCAAAAATGTATAATTACCTAGCAGTACAATACTCAAACATCACCAAAAAAATTAACAAATTACAAAAAATACAAACTGGTTTGGGTCTATTGTGACATTTTATTTGATTTAAGAAATGTTCTGATTTTTCTACATTTTCTCAGTTTTGAAATCAAAAGATGCCTGTAAAAAAAAAAATCATTTCAAGAGTTAATTTCATTTAATTTCATTGACCAATGGAAAATTCAGTTAAAAAGGTTAAATCAGATCTGCTGAAACAGTCGCCTAAGCCATCTCAACTGACAGTATCTTGTATCAATCAACCAATAATCATCTCACCATGACAGCCAGGTCACACATGTTGAGCTGCGTCATTCCAGGGATCAAATCTGTCTGATGCTGCTCCACTACTGCGGTTACCCATCTAAGAACATTCCGGTACTCCTTAGACTCGACACTTTAAGGCAAATGAGAAAGGGAGAGGTCAGGAAAGAGATATGTACTGGAAACATATATGTCTGATAGATATGAGAGATATTTACTTTTCTTTTCACAATGGTTAGTTATTTACAAGATGCTTCATTTTATTAATGCTAAATATAGAAGATATATTTAGAATTTCTTTATTTTGATTTTGGGGTGAAACCAACCCTGACAATGTTCTTGACAGGTTTTGTGAGACCATATACTTGTACCATGATGTTTACATGTTACTCCAAGAATACCATAGTACTATAACACTATACTAACACATATCCCCAAAAAAAAAAAAAAACATGGTTAAAAACATTTTACAGTTAATTTACAGCCAATTACTCTCCTACTTCAAAACAATAGCTGATATTTGCTCTCGGGTAACTGTTTACATCAACTGCATCATCATCGTCTTCAATTAATCTTCACAGCCTCATCTTAGCATGGAATATAAAATAGTTTTAATTAATTATTCGCTCATGCATGGTTATTACAAAATAATGCATGGAAAAATATGTGACAGACAGGCAATCCCACCATAAAACACACACACACACACACACACGCACGCACAGGTCCCCGAGGGCTGCCGTTTCCACAGAAGAGGTCATGTGTCCTCTCATTATTTGTGTTGGACAGCATCCCGCACCCCTGCGTAGTGTGCAGGGACCCTGATGGTTTCAAAGGAACGCTGTTCTCAATAGGACCTGTAGGCTTAATGGGCTTCAGAGAATGTGTGTCTGTGCGAGAAACACACAGAGACAAATATCACCACTGCAATTACGGCCATAATACAAAGGCAGGCAGCACCTGTGTCAGGCCTGTCCCTTGCGCTCAAAGGCAGCCTTCTGATTGGCCCCTGGGGAAGAGGTGTGTACATGTGGGGTGAAGTGTCAATTAGTGTAATTACCCTGGGCGCTGTCCGACTCACACCTCCAGTCTCTACACTTCTGCCTTCCCCCGGGAGAATCGGGCATGAGCCGCACGCTAACATCTGCTCCCCTCTCGCTCAGCCTGGACCAACAGTCTTCACCCTGAACGACCATTCCCCAAAACTCTGACACACATTACTTCACTTCCTACAGGCTTTTCATCAGCAGTTAAGAGGTTTCATCTAGTGGTTGACCAATATCAATGACTGATTGGAATATAACTGCAATAGAGTGCTGCAGGGATGCAGAACCCGAAATCGAAGTATAGGATTTTAGTACTTTCAGTTCCATTGTCTGGAAAACAATGTTTTTTTGGTTAAAAATAAAGTGAAAATAAGGTCTGTGGTTAACACAATCTCAAGATATTTTCACGTTTTATTCTACGACATAAAATACATCAATAACACACCCTTGTGATTTTTTTTAAAGCATTTACCGGTCTCAAAAAAGGTCATTAAGAAGTGGCTAAATGGGACTACAGGGGCTGTTGGGGACATTAAAAATCATCACAATGAACAGGTAAACGTATCTAATCACTAGTCTGCTTTCACAGACTCATTGTGTTACTCTTGCAAACTATTCTAAATCAAGCTTTTCAAAAAATTGTTTTTTTAAAGTCTGAAAGAGTTGTCTAAGCTTGATAGACCTTTAATTTCTGATAGAGTTTAATTTTTGACAGGAATAAAAATGAGTCTGTGGAGGATAGAAGTACAGTGCGGTCAATAGATTGTATTGTTGTTTAACAACATACCGATTGTTCAACTGACAAAACATCTTCCCGAAAAAATTACTAAATAAATAAATCAGTAGACAAAAACTCCATAAAACAGTTTGAAAGTTGTAACCTTTGTACAGTGCATGCCATTGTCAAGACTGTAAGTCTATCCCTTCACAGTTTCATTTTCATTTACATTTAATTCAGTATGGCATCTAACCTGACTAAAGGTCTATGGTGGTGACTCATGCGACTGAAGACTGAAGGCTATTGTATTTAGGATCCAAAAAGTTGTTTATTTATTAAAAAAATATATCCTGATGAACAACATGTAACTTTCATAAACTTTGGTTTGGTCATCCAAAAGCCAATGGAAACATCCTGTTGGGTTTTTGTCAAAAGAATCAGGGCAATGCTAAATTCTGAGCTGGTCTACAAAAATGTGTCACTCTGCGACATTCTATTAAAACTGGAGGACTGCCAATTTCACATCATTTCAAGTTTGGAATTTAAATAACTGCATACTTCTAATTTTTTATCAGTTTAAATTATGTCTAGTAAATTCTAATAGTATCAGTTTGTTTTGGTGGGCCTTATAATATATTACACATTATAACCATGAATTTCAAATCACATCCGTTCGAGGGGTTCTGCGCCAGGGATTGGCTGCTTTAACTTTATGTAACTTTACGTAATTTAAGCCTTAACCTAGTTGTAGTGTAATTGAGCATTAAGTTACAACTTATGCATTTCTAAATATTTGACTGTTGTACCTTTAAAATAAAATCAAACATAATGCTACATCAACCAAATATTTACACCAGCCACCAACCAGGAATAATGGTTGAAACAAACTAGCAGACCTATTGGATTACATAACTGAGCTTATGTTTTACCTGACACACTTCAATTATTTAGACATAAATGATGATGCTGACATTTACACTCATTTACTCATTTATTATTTCTATGACTAAATGACTCGGCAGCTCTCAAGCATGAAACGGATCTATGCACATTCCCATTTGTGGGACCCTACGTCACTTGTGCATGCTAGTTTTCAACACAAAAATAGAAATCAATATTTTCTGTATTAGTACTGAAGACTCATGACTAATTTCACAAACAATTCCAGAGTATACTATTTAATGCATACAATACAATTCCTTTAAGTCAGTGGTCACCAACCTTTTTAAGCCTAAGATCCCTTACCTCAGCTTTTATCAACGACAAGATCTACCTATTGAAGAATTGATAGAAAAAGACATCCCAGATTGGTTGCCGTAAAGCAGGGTTCCTCAAATCTTGCCCTAGAGGGCCAATGCACTGCAGAGTTTAGCTCCAACCCTGATCAAACTCACCTACCTGTGATTTTTGAATGATCCTGAAGACATTGATTAGCATGCTCTGATGTGCTTGATTAGGGTTAGAGCTAAACTCTGCAGGAAAGTGGATCTCGTGGGCCAGATTTGAGGATCCCTGCCATAAAGCAATCCACACTCACATACTCCCAGTTAATAAAATAATGTAATTCCCATCTCCTCTTGGGTAAAATGCTGGATCAGTTTAGAGGGCTTCAGATCACACACGCAGGAAACATTTGGTATTCTATTCATGATAGACGCAAAGATGCACCAAGGGGCACGGTGCTTTGGCGCTAGATCTGCTAAACGTATGCCGCCTTCACTGTATGTCCTGTGTATTATGCCCCTGGGTCTTTAATCAATAATTAACCATAGCATGTTTATTTATGCCTAGAGTCCAGACAAACAATAGAAAATTCACAGTCAGCATGGCTCATTAGCATTTTTCTGAACCTTGCTTTCCTTTCTACAACTATAGATGCACGATTAATAATAACAATGCATGCAAATACAGTCTTTTGATTTATAATGCATGACACCCAGGGGGCAGGGGCATTGCTCAGGTGTGTCACCAGACCGATTAGTGATTCACACACTTGCACTCACAAAACAGCATTCTCCAATTCTGCATGCGGAGAATACAATGAAACAAGAGCGAATCGGTATTCACATGGTAAAAACACCAACAAGTATAACTGAATGAATGAATAAAATAAGTCCCCCACACACAGTTGGAGCTAGACAAGGGAATTGAGCTGAAGAGGCAATCAAATACCTCTGCTCCCCCCACCCCACCACCACCATTCCCCCTGTGGAAATTGAGCAGTTCTACAAGCACTATTGATTGAAGGGCTGAAGTGCTTGTCAGCAGCAGATGAGGCCCGAGTTGCCTGCTACATTAGCCCCAGGCAGGATGGGACTTAAGGCAGGCAGGCAGGGAAGGCTGTGAGATGGGGGTCAGCATGGCAGGGGTTGTGTAGACCGAACGATTTCCTTGGCCTGTTAGCTTGGTTAGTGTTTTCATTCAAGGCAGGACAGCACTGCCACTAATAGCAGGACTCACAAGGAATCACCACTGTATATGATGATTGTGCAGGAAAATCTCCTAAATTGATTTAAAGTTAACATGAAATCCAAATGGACTGTTTTCATGTTCCAGGATTTAATTCACATGACTCATTGGTTTATGTTATTCTAAATTAAAAGAATGTATGTCTATGTATTCTTATACCAGATCGACTTTACTTTTTGAGGCCAATTAACCCTTATAAGCGCTTTTTGGGGTATATATATACGGTTCTCTCAAAGTGGTTTAAAACATTTTTTTAGGTATGCAATCTGAATATCTGAAAAAAACAAAAATTACAGCAAAAATTACGCATGAAAATGTTTTAAAATATATACCAAACGTTGACATATAATAGTTGGATAATGTCAAAATAAATATAAAAATGGATAATTCTAAGCATACAATCAAAATCTTACTCAGAATGTAGCTTCATAGAACATTGTGGCCATCCTGGACATTATTGTCATAACAATTCTGACCTGACATGAACTTTTTTTTTTTCACCAGATGGCAGCAATTTGGAACAAGCACAAGATAAATTTTCATATTTTCTTTGTTTCAACATGCAGAAGTGTAGATTTTTTTAGTAAAAAGTTTGCATAATTGCTTATAAAAATGGTGAAATAGAGGCATTTACACACACAAAAAAACAAAAACATCTAGAAGGAAGAGTATACTTTTATTGTTACTACTTTGTTGCTACATGTTGTGTCCCTTTTTTGAAACGGAAGTTACTCGCAGAGAAATATATATATTTTTTTTTTATTTACGCGAGATGGGCTTCGGCTTTTCAATGAGGATAAATATGATGGTGTTTACAGGCGATCATTTTATCAGACCTAATAACAACGTCACAAGTCTGTATACTGCAGATATGTTTTGTGTCAAGGTGAAAGTCTGTTT